CCTGCGAGCGCGCGTGCGTGCGCAGGGCGACATTTGCATTTGACAGCTCCTTAGTCCATACTCGCACCAGGATTTCTTTTCAATGCATCTGTCCGTCGCAGGGTATCTTTCGATGTTCTTGCAGAAGATTCCTTCTCATTTTGCACATTGGCAGGCTGCTCAGTTGATGCACACATGAAACTGTTGAATTGGCCGTGCCTGGGGTGGGGCTGGCGCTGGGACGCGGCTTCACCGCTGCAGGTTCACTGGTAATCACTAAAAACTTTCATGGAAAGGCCACCAAGGCATTTATCAGCAGCAGTGTTTCCCCACAGTAAGCCATAACTGCACAAGGCTGTCCAGGTTCAAGCCAGCCAGGCGGGCAGGGATGCATCATACCAGCTGCAATCAATCCTCCTCAAAGATTCTGAATCCGCCAGAAGCTTTCCCAAGAGTATACCACAATGGAAAACAGAAACCCAAAAAGAAAAAGAAAAATGGGAAGATGCTGAAACACACACACACAAAAAAAAAACAGTCACCTTTACATCATGATGTCCACCGATATCCTCCCACGTGACCTCTGGGACTTCCGATGTGGATCCCCGAACAACCGACGGGCCAACTCTCTTCATCGCCTCCTTCCACTCACTCATGGTCACAAGCCACTCGCCGTTCTCCTGCCCATTACCTGAGGCCTGCTTGGCCAGCACATTGGCGTTTTCACACAGCCCTTCGCCTCTGTGGTGACCAGCTAAACACGTCTGTACTCCATTGGCTGCTGATGCCTCTATCCTCAACGCTGCCATGGCTGCTTCTCGACACAGTGCTGCAATATCTGCACCTGTGTACCCATGACAGTAGGCCGCAATGTCGCAAAGATCCACCCCCGGAGCAAGTGGCAAGCCCCTGGCATGCAGCTGCCAACCGATCAGAAATTTGATTCGCAAGACTTCTTTCTTAAGTTTTTTCTTTTCCTTTTTCTTTTTCTTTTTCAGTTTCCATCTGTGTTCCTTATTCCCTCCAAACAGAGCATAAAGGCCTTGAAAACGTTGACCAGCCAGTTCTGACACTTTAATTATTTGATATCAAACTTGACAATTTGGCACAGAGTTACTCGTTTGCAACAATTCAGACACAGTATGGCGCTTTGAACTCCCAAGTCCTCTACTCACTCATGAACTTCGAAGTGGTGCTCCTTTGCTCACTGACAGGCATTCAACGGTGCGTAGTGCTTGCACCATTCAGCTTAAACTACCACTACATCTGGGCCTGACCTGCCCCTAGCCTAACAGGGGGTGGTGCTGCACCCGTTCTGGCATGCCACGAGGAGAAAACCCGGGCCTGGTGTAGCTGCTGCTCCAGGAGAATGGAGCCCCTTCTATGTAGCTGCTGATAACAACAGGGTATTGATAAACAACTCTGGAGAAACTTCCAACAGAGTGAATCCCAAAGAGTTCGGAGAAAAATTGCATGCACATGACAGTTCCAAGAACACTCATTGGAAACAGATCGGGTCGAGCAAACCACAGTGACGTCAAACAACCTGCTCATCTTTGTCCTTTCAGAAAAGCTCCCTTCTCATCACCTTCCTCTTCCTCCTGAAGTTCTCACATCACAACTTGCAATTACAAGTGAAGGTTCAAGCACCTCTGCCAAACGTCCATAGCCAAAGGGCAACGGCCTTGATTAAGGTCACAATAAGTGAGACTACAACACACGGAAACTACCAATTGTGATTGATGATATGGTCCAATCCTCGTGGTGACATGAGGCACAAGAGCACGCATTGTTTTCGCTATGCCTAAGGGATTTTTTGTTGCGTTACTTTCTAGGTGACTACAAATAGGGAACTCCACGTCGTATGCGGGAAGGAGAGCCCTCAAATTTGCTACATTGATTTCGTTTGTCCTTGTCGCCATGGTCAACCACTTGAGCCCCGATCCATTTTTGGCACGATGAAGCTAGACCAGTGAGCACTGTCCAAGCCTGCTGTCATAGCCAACAGCCTCTTCCTCTCTTCAACTTCCTAAATAGTACTGCTCCTCCTAGCCTAGCCCGACAGCGTGTGTGCATATAGCGTGCATACACGTGCCCTTTGGAACACGCAGAGTCAACGTCCCTCCACTTACCATTCCCAGATTTTCCTACCCAGCCTGCCACGCTTAGCTCATACAGTGCTGTATGTGTAGGTGCAGGTGATGATGGCCATTCCTGCCATAGCCGAAGTATAGCACATCTCCTAAACAATGCAAGGAATGACTCAGAAGCAGCTCAAGTGGCATGCCGCCTACTCCCCAGTTTCCCTACAGTGTCTGTACTCTCAACTGAGCAGAGGTTAGAGCCAAGCCATCTCTCATGTGCATTCCAAATTTGGAAAATGATGCACATGAATGCTAGAGAACAATGGAAGTCAGGAGCGCAAGACACATGGGGTGTCAAAACATCCCTTGCCACCTTCGCCCTACATACTTGGGTATAGAGCCCACCCCAGCTCACAACAACATCTCGTCAACCAATGGAGTTTTCACCAAGTATGGCCGACTGAAAGATTCTGAACAGAGGCATTGAGCTACAAGTGCCTTGCAATAGACTTTCATAGAAGAAAACCTACGAGCAGCGTGCAATTGGAAGGCTATCAAATGGTGCAGCCGTTGGTAGTTTCCTTTAGCATCATGATGTGAAACTACTATCAGAGCGACAACCTCCCATGTTTTCCCAGTACATGGGACGATACCACCATCCATGATGACCAGTACTAAACCACGCACTTGGCAGGGATAAATAACCCATAATGATTCGGGATCTCACTCTTTGAGCCCCGAATGTACCTCTGTGCTTGCGCAACAAGCGCAATGTTCACTCAGCCGTATCCAGGACCGAAAAGTGGATTCCGTTTGGACAACACAGAAAAGAATGAGTCAAGCTGCCGAACTTATAACTACTCCAGATAACCATCAGGAAGTTATATCACTCATAGCCAAGGGGAGTGGGGCACAGCTGTTGATCTCCGGTAGAGGCACTTTGTCGCATCGAAAGAAATTCGGCTGATTGTAGGGCACGAGCAATTGAAGAATGAACGTCGTACATAAATCATTATTCGTTGTTTTTCGAATCAATCACTCGGACCTGATCACAGTTCATTCTTGTAGTTCATCCAGTTTCCACTCACTCCCTCGATTTGCCGTGAATGTACAACTTTACTTTTGAGTACCCTCATGCTGCCAGTCCAGTTGCATTGAGTTGTGAAGCGTGCAATCAGACTCACTTTCTTTTCCACTTCGCACTCGTGCAAACAGATGGTGAATCACACTGGCGCACAGCGCCCACTCAAAGCTCGAAGATATGGAAGTCGAAAACACAGTTCTGATACAAACTCGCTTCAACAGGCTATGGCGCATCAGCGCCTGTACATCCCAACTCTCGTCTCACTGTCCAACACCACTGTTCGCACGTACTCAACTCTGGATCACCCTGGATATCCCACACGCATACACACGCTCTCATACTCACACACTTGCCTATCCGCTATGGCGGCTATGGCCGCTAACCCTCTAACGCTATGGCTAACTATCTCCTTCAGCCCACTTTGAAACGGTATTCACCAATTCGCAGTAGCTGATGCAGATCCCAGGGCTCGATCTCTAGTCCCCACCTTACCTGTGCACAGTATCTGTGTCGACCCTTAGAGTTGAACCCGTGACCCGTGTATTTGTAACAGTTGGTAGGTTGTTGTAGGGTCCATAGATAGCAGGGGTTCGATCTGTAGACCTGTCGAGTAGGAGTCTCAGTCAGGTCTAGCAGCCGTAGCTGTAGTTTTTTCGAAGAGTCAAGGTCGTAGCTGCTACAGTCCAGAAAGGTCAAGGTCGTAGCTGCTACAGTGTCGAAAGGCCAAGTCTACGGCCTTCCGGAAGGTCCGAGTAGTGGCCTTTCGAAGTTTCCCACGTTTAGGCTGAGGCAAGTGGGCAAGTGGTAAGGCAAGTGGTGGAATCTACCCGTGCTGAGTCAGCAGTCCCAGTCCTAGGCAGTCCTGGTCCAGTCCAGCAAGTACCGCATGGGACTGTGTGCACTTCGGGCATGGGAAGGGGCCAGACCAACGCGCTGCAGAAGTATAAATCAAGAGGCAGCGCCCAGTCATTCAGTCATTCCTGCGTGAGCCATGCGGAAGCGCTGCCATAAGCGACTTGTGCGAGGTGGTCTGCATTGAGCCTGAAGACGAAGTGGGCGAGAGAGAATCATAGCCATAGCGATGGGGTAGTAGCGGCCATAGTTGCCATAGCTGTAGATAGCGTGCAGTGTGAGTGTGTGTGTGTTCAGAGTATCGCGTGTGGGATATCCAGGGTGATCCTGTGTATGCGAACAGTGAGTTGTGTGCACGCTGAGTCGCCATAGCCATCGAAGTGAACTTGAGTCTGAACTGTGTTCTCGGTTACCATATCTCTGAGTTCTGAGTGGGTGCTTATCGCCAGTTTGCTGCGCACCTGTTTGCATGCATGAGAGTGTGAATGAAAACGAGTCTGATTGCATTGGTATCAGAGCTGGTACCCGCTATTCCATGTGCGTCGTTGTGTGCCGCAGGGAGAGCAAAGCGCCATAGCCAAAGTTGCCAACGGAGAAGAAGTCCTCCATAGCGGACCCAGAGGTTGAAGAAGCCGCCGCGCACACCTGCAGAGAAGACCACGATGAAGAAAAAGAGA